GTTTGGGGTTGCAAGGCTTTCGTGAGACGCGAGACTCACGACAAGCTCGAACTTCGTAGTGAGCGGTGTATTTTCATCGGCTACCCACATAAATCCTTTGGTTATATCTTCTATAGACCGAGTGACAGTGTTGTCTTCGTTGCGAGGAGAGGACTCTTTCGCAAGAGAGAACTCATAGGTCAAGGAGACAGTGGGAGGCAAATTGACCTTGAAGAGCTTCAAGAGTCAAGCGGTGAAGGAACCTCAAACACTAGCAATCAACCTAAGGAGGAAACCCCTGTTGAGCCGATTGACGAGTCTGTACCTCTGAGGCGTTCCAGTAGAGTTAGTGTTCCACCAGTGTTGCACTGCTATGTTAAATCTTAGAAAAATCATAACTTCCTCATACGAAGTCAGATTTGGGCGTTCTTTTTATGTATGTTTTCGGTTTAATGTATACTACAACTTTAATTTAGATCTCTAAGGCTAAAAAGTAGTTTATCAAAAAATCACTTTTTACGATTCCCGGTGCCGTGCCGGTTTTGCCATAAAACTTCGACATGTCATAACTTCTTCGTTATAACTCAGATTTCGGCGTTCTCTATATGTACGGAACCTTTGTGAAATATAATATAACTTGGTTAAGATTATTTATTCTAAATCATCTTCTATCAAAAAGTCATTTTTGACGTTCATTGTCTCTAAATTGCCTAGCCCGAATCTACGGGCGTTACACTTCAACACCTGTGCCACGGTGGCACTGGCACCCCACAGTTCAGGACCCCCATCCGATAAAGTAGTCAAGCGGGGATAACCGAAACCAACAAAATTACAGTTCACTCAAAGTCACTGATCCTGCCAGTCCTTCTTCGAAGTTTTCTGATTAATGATGAAGGCATGAATACCCCTCATCTGGGAAAAAGTATGGGCCCCGGACTGAGTGGTGGAATTGAAGAAAGCCTTGAACGCCCAGAACTGTGGCAAAACTCTGAGGGCCCGACAAAAAAGTTCGAAGCCGACGATCTTATTGACGGCGTTCGGAGTCATGTCGTCCACACGGAGTCCGTATTGACGCATAACCTTGTCAAAGAAATCCGTCGTCGGCAGCCTCAACCCCGCCTCGAAGATCGGAATGAGAATTCTGATCTTCCCTCCGGCGGACGCGAAATGATGGCCCCCCTTTCAAGGGTATTCTACGCCATGCTCGAGAAGAAACCTAAACCGCTCTTGCAGACTCAAAAACTCACTCGGGGAAGGAACGATATCAGTGTTAGAAGAGGTCATTGCTCGACAAGAGAGAAAGAGCAGAAGGAAATGAAAAGAGGAAGTGGTAGACGTGAGGGAAACCAGGAAAAGGGGAACCGACTCAAATAAGGAAGTTTTAAATGCAATCGGGAAGACTAAGTGGTTATGATGATGAAAACCGTCAGCACATACGCCTCCGTCACATCAACTACGGCCAGGAAACCATCCCCGCCGAACGCGTGTCCAGATCTAAGCTAGAACTACTCAGCTACCCTAAGCAAACGCTGACGTCTACTAGCCTAGGGGACTTGTTGACGTATCCCACTGGGAATCCATCAAAGATAACGGAACCGTTAGTTCGACAGACGGATCTGCCAAGGAGCAACGAGTCACTAACGTCGGGACTTCGCCCTCGCCTCCGAGACCCCGTATCCGTTCCTCGGTGACCAAGCGCCAAGGCTAACATTGAAGACAAAACAATACCAAGAGTTCCCCAGAACGACAGGTATAGTGCTCTGGACGCCGCTTCTGGCAGAATATGCACCAATAGCGAACAACCACCCATGGAACACGTTCCTCCAACCAAAAGCCATCAGCCCCTGCCAAACTTGAAAAGGTAGAAGATATTGTCGGGGATCTGTTCCCCCTAACCACAGTTATAAAAGGCACCCTTCTCCCCCAAGAGAAGGGGCCAAGATCTAAAACCCTTCAACACTTTGTTTATGCTTTAAACCCAATCTCTCTCAGACCCACACTAACTTGATCGTCAGAGCCTCGTTCCAGGACAACCTCCCGGACAACGACTGACGGTCCTATTTTCTTTGTTGTGATTCTCAGGCTTTTTGTTTCCACCCCTCGAAAAGACGGAGTTAAGCCGATGACATATCACAATAGCTACCAAGGTAGAACGCAGGGCATAAGCCTGAGTATGTCTGGCGTACTCAGCAACCTTGACTTCGGTTGACTTTCTCGGTTTGGGCCACTTTTGGGCTGAAGAGTTTTGGGCCCTATTGGTCCATTAGCCTTCTGATTTTTAGGCCATTTCTAGGCCTTGGGCCTTCTTGGAATTAGGCCTATGATGGGTTTTGAGCCCAATTAGGAAGTTGGGCCATATTTGGGCCTCGGATTTTGGGCCAAGTGAGGAAAGGGTAAAATGGACTTTTACCGTGAGTGTTGGACAATCGGACTAGGATGCCAGCTATGGGATGTGGACCAATTATTAGTTGGGTATTATTTGATAGTGTTAGTGCGGGGATTTTTTCGGATCAACAGTCTAAGTCTTTATCTAAGATATTCAGCAGCTTGATGTGAGTTTCCTCACTGTTCTTGGTGGGTCAAAGGCACCAATGTCGGCCCATGGTTTATTATGATTAGGATGCTAGTTATCTGCTTGACTCTTACATGTATGATATTTGATATGTATATCGGGCGGTGCCTAATGAGTATATTGTATGTTATTTATGTTTATAATCTGTGCATGTGTTTATGTGTTTATATGTATATCGGGCGGGGTCTGATGAATGTGATGAGACAGGGCCCGTCTCGTATTTCTGACAGATCTGTTTCGAGCGGTGCTCGATGCCCGGCGGGGCCCGTTATATGTTTGTTATGTATGGTATGTGGTGTTTTGGGGAACTCACTAAGTTTCGTGTCTACGGTTTTCAGTTTATGTTTCTGGTACTTCCGGATCCAAGGGGGAGAGCTCGGGGTGATCGAATCGCACACACCACATTGTTCCGCATTTTACTTGACTCTGATGTTTTTGGATGTTTTGGTCATACTTGATTCTATTATGGTTTTATGAACACATTTTGAAAGATGATTTTATTATTCTAAAATTAAAATTTTTGGTTTTAGTTTTTGGGACGTTACAAGAATAGAACTCTGATACAATGATTTGCTTCTAATAAAACTATAAAAATAAATAAATAAATAAATAAAGCCAGCTATATTACATTACCAAAAAATAAAAACTCTTATTTGCTTCTATATACAAAAGCAGAAATCTGAAAGTTACATTCTATTTTTCTGAAAATTCAAAAAAATATGAAATCTGAAACGTCTAAACCTCAAAGAAGGATTGTCAGTCCATAGATTGTTGTTTTAATACATCTGAATTCAATAAAATAGGAATAAGAAAAAATAAAAGAAATAAAAAACTAATTTACTTCTTATAGATCCAAAATTATCATAAATAAAAATAAAAAACTAACATTTCAAAAATTAGAAATTGATTTTCTTTTTCCTTTTATTTTCGAAACTGATTTCTTCGTGCCTTCTGGTTTTCGAAACTACTTTTTATGTACCTTAAAAATCAAAAAATCAGAAATCTCTTATATTCTTACTTCAAACCATAGTAAGCGAAGCACAAAAATTTGAACCAAAAATGTTAAAAATCAGAAATCCCTTACCTTTTGATGTCGAAACCTCAAGGTTGATTTTCGAAGCAGAGAAAAAAGATTATAAGGTTCGTTTTTTTCCGGAGATTGTAAGCACTTAAAGATGATTTTTGAGATTGTAAGCACTTAAATATGATTTTCGAGTAGACAATAGAATTGTTGCTTCTGATTTTCAGGAAAAAATAAGAAAGAAGTGAGATTGTTAGAGCAATGGGTATAGGTCACAACTATGCCCATTCACAATAATTGTCACATCATCTTCTTCTCTTCATGACTTTAAGAAGGGGTGGTATTTCCAACCTTAACGGCGTTGAGGTGAAGCCAAAAAAAAGAAGAGAAGCAGTGGGAAGAAAAAAAAAGAACCAATCACAATTCGTGTTGCATCTCGTTGTAGTTACAACCAATACACCATAAGGCCCCTTAATGAGATTGGGGGCGGTGTGCTCCTGTTACGACGTCGTTGTTACGACGTCGTTGTTACGACGTCGTTGTTACGACTCCACGTCGGCAATAACATCGTGTTTGTGTACTCACACTGTATGCTCTTAGAGATTGTTGCCATCATTAATTTCTCCCTCATGAGTAAATCGACAAACAAGAAATCAAAGAGTTTGTTTTTCCCGAAGGTTCATATTTTCCCGCTCACTCCTTTTGTGCGCTTGCATCGTACATGTTGTAACTGAGAATAATGTTAACCTAATTTGAATTGGGCCAAAAACTGAACATAGGCTAATAATATATAAGATTATATGAAAATTTTAGGCTCTATTATTTAGTGGGCCTTGTTCATGATCACATTTTGAACTCTATTTGGGCCGGCCCTTTGAGAGATAAGGAATGACTCTTTTATATAAAAGGTTATGAGTTCAAGTTTCGGTGAAAACATAGGTGGTTATTTAAGAGTGTGTTAGTTAGTTTTCTTTACTAATGTAGTTTGAAAACACGGTTGACTCATGTAGTTTGAAAATGTTGTAAAGTTTGTTTTTTAGCTAACATCGTTAGAAAAAAGAATGGGTAGAGTATTTGTGAGATGATCAATTTATCCATCTTTTATTCTTTTTCTTTACTTTTGTTAAGAAACACATAACTGAGAATGTAAATTGGGGATCTAGAGAGCAAAGCAGATTCAACTACCAGGATTTGTGTTTTTCATGTGTCGATTTGAACATCTTTGCAACGATGATAGTGGACCCTAATCACAACTATCTTCATCACCAATAAACAACCAATTTCAATGGAAGCTTGTGTATCGTCTTCACCTTCAATATATGCGTTACTTCAAAAACAAATTATTAAGAGCGAAATCCTCATTTAGATCAAATCCAGAACAAAATAATATTAAAAATAGAACCAAAACATATCTAATCTCAAACTGATCATAAATTTACACCATTTACAAAAACTAACCCAAACTTTTGCTTTCTCTCAAAATTTACCCCCTAAAAACTACCAATCTTCAATTTCATCATCATCATCACAAATCTCCTCAAAATGATCCAAATCAAAGTCATTATTATCAACCATTGATCCACCCAACCACTTACTAACCGGTTTCCACTCAGTTGCAATCACTGAAAGATCAGATAAACTCACACCATTATACCCACCAACACATCTTTCCCCAATCATCTCCTTCTGACATTACATTATATAAAAATATGTTAAAAATAAATAAATAAATAATATCTCTGACAAAAACTCAAAACATTTTACTTAATGTCTGAATCCCAAACCTTGTTGCGCCATTGTGATTGTTCAACTTGCCACATCACCGGACGACGAATGGCATGCCACCTAAGCACTCATAACACAATATTTCAATCTTTTTTTTTTATAATTTAAGTAATTATAACAATTATTAATATTTTAAAAGAATACCTTGAAGATAGAGGGTGACGATTTCCAAACATGACCCCACGAACAGCAACTGAAGCAGCAGTTGATTGGATGAGATTCTCAGCTTCATAACTTCTTGATCTTATTCCATTTAATGAAGCAAGAAGTGAGTCAGCATCACTTAAATATGAAGCTACAACCCATGCATCATCTATTCCTTCCTCTTCAACAAAATCTAAAACTGAATCAAACAAATAATAAAAATAAATAAATAATTCCATGACTCATGGTTAAAGGATAAAAAAAATATAAAAAAGATACCATTTTCGTGTAGGAAATCAGCAATAGGTCTTGCTTGACCATGTGCTTGACCAAGGACCTTCTCTGGTACATCCATTTTCATGGGCAATCTTGTAAATTCCTCCTTTAAAGAGACTAGAACAGAAGAAAGAAGGTTAAGAAGTTGTACACCAGAAGGAAGGGCAATAAAGTAATTTCCATACCAGATGCAGTTGCGTTCTCTGTTTCTCTTTTGTTGTGGAGGAATTTCCCGAGGGCGTGGAACAGGGAGAGAGTTTCATCTCTGCCACATGATAAAGAGTACCCATCATCTAAACAATTGGAATTGACGAAAATACCCTTGGAATTGGATTTCAGATTGAAGTACTGTAAAGATGTGATTGCGTTTCTGATATCACCTCCACTTGCTTTAGCTATAGCATCAATCTGTTCAGCTTTTGTTTTAAGTTTTTCTTCCCTACAAATTCTTGAAAGCATTTTTTGTGATGGAGTTTGCTGTGATTGGATTGAAAGCAACTTTAAAAGCTCCTGCATTTTGAAGAGATGTTTGAAGTTCTTCCCAGCATCTTGAGGTGTAATCAGCTGTGTCTGATCTACCATAGTCTGTGATTAATATAACTGTTGGAACACAAACATATTGGACAAGAAGATGGAGACAACGTTGTAGTCTACCATAAGAAATCTTTCCATTTGTAACTGGAAGATCATCAATCAAGATAAGAAAGGGTTTCTTTTGTGGTTCTTTAGTTAATGAAGAAGAAATTAATCCGTATTTTCTTATTTTCTCAACAAAATTCTCGAATTCATCTAACTTTGACATGTAACGCAACCCTGCATTGGTTGTATGAATGTGTTCTTGCCAAATTGTGGGAGTAGGTGTGTTCCATTCGTATATTGTGGCTCCAAGATTGGAAGCAATTGCTTCAACAGTTGCAGATTTTCCAACTCCAGGAAGTCCAGTTATGACAAGAACATGATTGTAATGATTGTTGTTTTTCAGTTTGAGTCTTTCTTCAAGCCAGATTTTAACCTCTTCAACTTTCTTTTTGTGAACAGATAAGTCTAGCAAAGAGCGAGGCTTATACTTGTCTACCCATAGTTCTTTGTTGTCTCGTTTATGACCTGAATCAGGATATGTAATCATGTCAGATATGGAAGGAGAAGGAGAAGGAGAAATATATAAACATTCAGTTTCATTTTGTAAGTTCAATAGCAGAAATGAGAAAACGAGTATAGCATACCAGCAGATACCTTGAACCCAGTAAAGCCTTCACCAAAATCCTCACAGAACTCTTTCATCTGCGACAAGGAATTTCAGATTTATCATGCTGCTTAATGAAAAAGAAGACTAAAGTCAAATGTAACAGAAATCTAATCACATCAAAGCTATATTCTAGGTCTGGAATCAGCGATAGAACATAGAGATATCCCTTACACGCATCAAATAATCGTCATTTGATGCAGCTTGAGCAAATAACAAAATTACATACTCAAATGAAAGCACACACGCATACAACAATTGCACGCGAAACACGAACAAAACTCTCAAATCAATACCTCGTCAAATGGATTAGAACTTTTGCCTGGATGCGAACGAGAACTGGAAATTCGAGCTTTCTTTGGAATTGGACCCTTGGTGTTAGTTCGAGGAACAGAAGCTGCTCCCGATTTCGGCTTCTTGAAATACTTCAAAATCGACTTTGATGCAAAATCATTATCATTACAGTCACCATCGTCATCCGATGATGATAAAACAATGGTTTCCCTCTTTCCCATTTGCTAGAACCAAATAACTGAAAAGAGTAACTACTTCTCAATTAACCCTTATATCAAATACGATGTGCGACTATGCTTCAAATTTTTCTGTTTTGGCGTCGAAACAGTTGTCGATAAAACCCTAACGACTGCAAAAAGAACACTGAGAAACCCCCCATTTGTTGTGTGCCCTGTTCTGGAATTGACGCGGGAGATTTTAGGCGTAGCTGAGAAGCTTATTCAAGGGTCAAATTTGTAATTAACCACTACCCTTTTAAAATCTTGAAAACATGAAACTAAGGTTTTTTAGAAGACAAAATTGTAAAAATGGTCCCTGTGATATGTAGATTTTGGGGTTTTAGTCTAAACCACGATTTTTTTGGATTGCTGATCCTTTTGGAGTGGTTTCTATGTGAAAATAGTCCATCCGAAAATTGAAATGACTATAATACCCTTGGGGTATTTATTTTTCATTTTTCGTAAAATTTAATATTTATTTATTTATTTTAACAATTAAAAAAATAATAGAGGACCCTCTCTCTCTCTCTCTCTCTCTCTCTCTCTCTCTCTCTCTCTCTCTCCCTCCCAACACCCAAGAACACCTTCATAATCTTAAGAACACATTTTCATAATCTCAAGAACACTCAAGAACATATTCATGACCTTAAGAATATCTTCCACAACCACCACCCTTTGACCACCGTCCGCCACCACCACCACCCTTTGACCACCGTCTACTTCCACCACTGTCTGCCACCACCTTAGTCTGCCACTACCACCGTCTGCCACTTCCATATATGGTTGAAATCTAATTCTACCAACCAATCACGACATCCACCACCATTGTTGAAATCTAATTCTAACCTCAAATCAAAACCAAAAGCTTATACTTAAAATCTAACCTGCAACTCAAATTCTTCAACACCTTCATCTTCTTCAAAAATCCAAACCCAACTCATATATTACCCATTTTTCTCCTCACATACACATATACATACACCACACAATCGGATATTTGGTTCCTAGTTTACAAACCCAGAAATTTGCAGACCCATCTCCATCTACGCACCAACCATCACCTCAATTACCCTCCTATATCAAGATCCATCGTTTCTACAAACCTTACACCACCAGGCATCACCTCCTGCATCATCTTCTTTACATACCCACCTCCATTACCTTGTTCTTGATTCGTTTTTTTAGACTTGTTAATCGATTAAGAGAGTGGGAATAATAGAACGCAACACGCCACAAGGTTCTACATCGATTGCAAAAAAGATGAGGGGATGAGCAGATCTATTTTTTCTCTCTGTATACACTTTGACGGAAAAAAATCATATATTGTTAATCGATTGATAGCTAGGACCGGTTCTGGATTTTTTTGGGGTTTGGAAGGCCAGAAGTTAATTATTCAGAGATTCAAACAGAGGATGGGTTATGCGACTTTCATATCACTTAGGGAATTTCACTATAGTTGTTTGATGGGAGAAGAAGAAGAAATTCATCATATGGCTCGTTTTTTCCTGATGCATACCATCTGCTTCTTCCCCAAGTTAAAATTGCTCAGTTAATTAACTTCCTTCTTGGAGGAATTTCACTTTCACACTCATTATCTTGCGAGCAAATTAGAATATGAATTCATTTTAATAGGATCTTTCGATCCTGATTCGATCTTACGATCACAATATTATAAAACATAAATGATCTTAAGTAAGATCTCAATTTTGACAGCTTTACATGAAAACAATATTCTTCTAGCCATATTGAATAGGTTGAACTATCTATATCATATGTTGTACTTTTCATTTGAGTACTAACTTTATCATCTAAAATATGTTTCGTGGATCAAACCCGATATACTTTTAATTGATATTATATGTGATTGATGCTAGCTAGGGTCAAATCCGTCTTCATCCTAGCCAAATTCATTTTGGATTTTCGTACCACTTCCTTGTATCATCACATTCATGCTCTTGTTTTTGTAAAGTGAATGTATATTGTAAACCGTCAAAGTTTAGTTCAAAGTTCAAAGTTCGGTAAATCTTCATTTACTTTATGTAATGAAATAACAATCCTTAATTGAGTTTTACAAATTCAAAATATGATTTTGGTTGATGATTAATAAGCTAAATTAATAATATATTCCAACTCCTAATGTTCAAGACATCAATTTCAACATACATGTATTTAAAACTCTATTAAAGCTTAAGAATCCAAATTTGACTTCATTGAAGGTTTTAACTTTTGATTTGAACTTTGCATGAGTAATCTTATGTTGGTGATTTGTTATCATCAATGTTACTTAAGTGTAATGGGATTACTTTTGTTGACAAAATGTGATCTTGATAAATATTAAACGAGTAAGGAAGGTGTGGAGTACACACTTTGTTTAAGTTTGATTAAGTTTCAAAGTACATTGTCATTTATGGGCGAAGCCCCTGAACGAACGGGGGTCCGAGGGCAGCGCCCCTGGGAGCAGTGTCCAAGGGGCAGAGCCCCTGGCTATAGGGTATGTTGCTATATTAAAAATGCATCAGAAAATTGATTTTTCAGATAATTGACCATTGGTTTGACCCTTATCCATATATCCGTTTTATGACAGTTTTTATAGTTTTATGACAGTTTTCAGACAAAGATCTTAAAGTTGGTTTTTGGTCTCATTTCTGGTACATACGAAAATAACAGCAAACATTCTTTGTTCTTGTCTCTCTGAGTCTTATCCGATTAAAGATTGGGAGTACCACCCAAATACTTTAATCTGAAAGTGAAACCACAATTCTCAGAATTTCCAAGGCTATTTTATCCCGATTTTCTTACATCTTACATCTAAACATCATCATTAACCTAATTCATGGCCTAAAATCAAATTCCACTAGATCTAATGTTGATTTCACAAAGCTATGGTTTTCAAGGCCACATTTGAAGCTTCTTGAACTTAAATTCAAGTATAAGAATGCAATTACACTATTATATTTGCAATCTATGCATGGATTCATCATCAAAACTACAATTCTAAAAGCAAGTTATTTATAAAATCGGATATTATGATGATCTCAATGTTACAAGTCAAAAAGAGAAAGATAAGTGAATATTAGCTACCTTCCACAAGTTCATTTGATTATTTAAGCTTCTAATATTCAAACTAACTTCAAATAACTACTAGTTGTTTCTACAACGTCAAAAATCAAATTTTGTCTTTTTTTCCCTGCTTATAGGTCAAAATAAAGAGGAAATTAGGGAATTGGGGATTTCAGTTCAAATGTTTGCGTATTAACTAGAATAACCCTTATACTTTTCAAGTTTTCAGTATGCTCCCCAACTAACTTGCAACTCCCACACAAGTTTGAAATTTTATAAAATAACCCTAATAAGTTGGTATCTTAGCAATTAAGTTCCAAGATAAAACTAACCATATCAAACCTAAGTTTCCATATTTTGCAAGATTGGTCCATCAATCTTCAAAATTTTCGTTTAACCCAAATTAACTTTCCAAATAACCTTTTCTAACGTCTTGCTTACTAACTCAACGTTAAATGATAAAATTTATTGCAATTATGTTCATATCTTAATGAAATGAATTTGTGGAAATATCATTCTTTAATTTTAAATCTTACAGGTTTTTAACTTCAACTTTGCCTAAACAACAATAACTATACAATTTTAAACTTTTTATATTAATTAACTTTGAAGTTTTTAAAATCTTTATTTTTTTTATTTTACTAATTTTATTTATTATATGTTAATTTAAAATAAAATCATTCAAAATAATTTCACTAAAAGGGTAAATATTATTTGTCTTAAAAATGTCGGTATTACACAATCTGATTACAACATCACATAAATTAAGGTTATTGAAACAAGAAAAGAAAAACTTAGGGACATTCACTCGGAACTTATAGTCAAAACGATAATTTATTATTTAATTATTATCTTAGTAAATATTAATCATATTATTTTGACTTTTCTATAAAAAAGATGTAACGAATAATTATTTTACTTGGAAATCATTTATGAAGAAGTTTAGTGTTAATATATATTTTAATTAATATATGATTAATTAGTTAATCAAATAGCTGAACTTTCAGTCGTTTAAATTAATATTCTAGAATTTAATGAATCTTTAACCTTCTAAAATATTATTTTCAATTAATACATCATCCATATATAATATTTGGCTATTAATTGTTCTTTTTAATTTCATAAACTTTTCTTTTTCAATTTTTTGCAAAAAGAAAAGAAAAAAAAAAAAAAGTAAAAAGATATTATAATTTAAAAACATGACTTGATCTCCACCACGCAGGTAGCGATTCAACGGCATCATTTCCCGGCTAAATTAGGGTCCATTCTCTCTCTTGATCTCTTCCATTCTTCACCAAATAATTTGTTCTTCCCCTTTTCTTAAGGGTTTTCCTATTTCCCACATTCGATTTTCCACTTTTGCATTTTTCCTCTAGGGTTTCGCTGAAAAACCTCCAAAAATGTCCCGGTTTTGTATCAAACAATGGTGAATTTGTCAGAGGGAGAAAAATTAACATAGTAGATCAACAAGAAACGTGATCAGGTCTTCTAAGAATAGAAGAAGATCTGAGGCTCAATTTTTAACAAATATGAGCGCTTCCAGGTTCATAAAGTGCGTCACTGTCGGCGATGGGGCTGTTGGAAAGACATGTCTCTTGATTTCTTACACCAGCAATTCCTTTCCTACGGTGATTATTTCTTTTAATTCCTTCACAATTTCTCTTCTTATTCAATTTTACGAAACACATTTCAATCGCTTTTCCTGTTTATCCTAATTTCAAACTATCTATCGTATTCATTTCTTTACAATTTCCTTTTTGTCCCCATCTTCGAACTTTGATCATACGTTTTTAAGCTCATTTCTGCCTAATTTCTTGTGGAGATGTGAGGAAGAATCGGTATAATAATCACATTCTTGATGGAATTTTGCTTGTAAAGAGGATTGAAACATATATTTGTTTTCATTGTGTTCCAAACAGGATTATGTGCCAACTGTATTTGATAATTTCAGTGCCAATGTCGTTGTCAATGGCAGCACTGTCAATCTAGGCTTGTGGGACACTGCTGGTAACCAACCTTCTGAAACATCATCAATCATTTCTGTGTTCTTGAACTTTAAGGGTAATATAGACATTTCACTGAACAGGACAGGAGGATTATAACAGATTAAGACCATTGAGTTATCGTGGTGCTGATGTCTTCATTCTTGCCTTTTCTCTCATTAGCAAAGCTAGCTATGAAAACATCTCCAAGAAGGTGAACCTCCCATTGTCTTTTTTACCATTTCACCCTTCAAATACTTTACATAATCTAGTAACTGAATATATCTTTTTGTTTCTCAGTGGATTCCAGAATTGAAACATTATGCCCCTGGAGTCCCAATTGTCCTTGTTGGGACCAAAATTGGTTAGTTGTTTCATGATGATTTAGAATTTGATAATTTGTAGAAGTTAAAGTGCATTATTTATTGTTATAAATTGATTAGTTATAAATGACCAAAATGCCCTTACATGTTGTTGGAATTTAGATCTTCGGGATGATAAACAGTTCTTTGCTGACCATCCTAATGCAGTTCCCATTACAACTGCTCAGGTAATGATTATTACAATATTCTACTCAGCTATTAGTAAATGACCAAAATACCCTTACATATGGCAAATCGGCTATCAGTAAAGAAACATGAGTTTGTGGGCTTATTATAGGGAGAAGAACTAAAGAAGACGATTGGAGCTCCTGCATATATTGAATGCAGTGCGAAAACACAAGAGGTATTTTCT